TTAGTCCGATTTGCAAATGAGGGTCTTCCTTGCGAGAAGGCCTTGGAATGATGTAGCAAATGTACATACTATATAGATGCATACATGGTAGATTACATATCATGTTTTGTGTTTGTCGAAGGACCCGTATATCGGCAGGAAGACCGGGTCAGAAAGACCGGTCTGTTGATGGAGGTCGGAAATGACCATGAGTAGGCGCAGAGGTCGAAAGGACTGTAAGTCGCAGGAGTCCGAGTCAGTCATAGAGACCGTTGTCTGTTGATGGAGTTTTGGAAGGACCATAGTCGGCGACGGAGGTCGAAATGACGTAGTCGCATGAGGACCGGGTCTGAAGAAAATCGTTGTAGTATGGTGGTACTCTAGTAGATTACTCTAGCGTTAGGTAGTGCCAGCAGAGTAAGTCCGGGCCTCAGGTGGTGTCCTGGTTAGCACAGCGGTCTCAAGTGGCTGATTCGGAGGGCAACGACGTTTCAGACGTGTGGCGTCCGGAAGGGTGAGGGCTTTCAGTGGCTGTCCGACGAGCAACGTACTAAGCGGGTAGTCCGACGGGAGAGGGCCTCATAGGGTGGTGAGGCAGAGGTAAGTTCCTCTGGCGGAGGTGATGGGCCTAAGTGTGTGGTCGTCGGCTAGCAACGACTTAGGCGGTGTCCGACGGAGGTGAGGCCTTCAAGGTGGGCTCGAGGTGAGGGCCTCCAGCTGAAGGGAGGGTTGCTGAAAGGTGAGGGCTCAGGTCGAAGGTGGGCTCGAAGGTGAGCCTCAAGGCGAAGGCGAGCGGCCTCAGATTGAAGGGTGAATAGGCTTCAGGTGTTTGGTGAGAGCCCTTTGGTCAAGGCTGAGGGCCTCAGGTGAATGGTGAGGGCCTCAATGCGTCAAAGGTGAGGGTCCTAAGGTGGTGGTCCGTACGAAGCTCCGGTGGTGGGTCGAACAGGTTTCCGCGTTGGTGTTCCGGGAGAACTCCCGGTGGGGCTCCGACCGAGGTTCCAGTTGGTGGTCCGGCAAGGTTCCGGCGGTGGTCGAGGAGGAGCTTCTTCCTTCTCTTCTTGCTTGGCCCCTTTTTCAAGAAAAATGATGGGTCTATTTATAGATTTTCTGAAGTGGCATGCCCCGTAAATAAGTGAGAGATCAAAGGGTAAATGGGGAGTGGTTGGATGTACGGCCGATATTGAACCCCTTGATTATGGACCGTTCGTCAGGCATTTGGAGGCCTTAGTGATTTCGGAATTCGGTGATATTGGGCTCGTTAGATTCGTCTCGTCGAGCTGTTCGATTTGAGTATAAAATCGGAGACTGTTTGTTAACTAAAATTGTGGTTTAAACCTTCCAACAACGCTTCCGGTCCTTGATTTGGACCCATTTGGGCTCGGATTGGGTTGAATTTGGTGTCGTTGGGTTTGTATTTCCGAGACGCTCAGTTCAACAATAAGTTTGCTGAAATCAGAGTCTGGATGGTCTCCGAATTAATTTTAAAATTTTCAATTTTATTTTGCATCGAAATTCGCGCCCGATTAAGATAATTTTTGTATGATGTATCAAGTTTAAATACACGTGCATAAAATACAAGTTGCAAAAATTTTATAATATAAAAGAATAATAATTTAAATGTTAATGTTTTAGAAAAAATTTAAATCTAAATAATTTAAGCTTTAGATAAGTCAAATAATATTTAATGTTAAATAGTATTTTAAAAATTAATAAAATATATTTTGTACATGTTACAATAAGTGTTTCATCTACCGTAATAAATTACATATTTATAAATATAATTTTATTATATATCTACCTAATTATTTAAGTGTGATACAATTGTGCTTGATTTTTTGCATTTTCTTCAATGGACTACCATGAGAGTATAGATTATAATTTCAAGAGAAATGACACAAACATGGGAACAATTATATCATAATTCTATAGCTTATCAATTCTTTTAATGCATAAATGTACATTTTTATTTTTGTTACCAATAAGAAATATAGCTATATAACAATAAATAGACATGATGTGAAAAATGCTACCATGAGTCATGATGTAGAAAAGCAAAGCAATATACTTTGATGTTTTAAAAAATATTAATAAGTATCCTTAAAAAACATGAAGAAAAATAATGCATATCAAAATGCTCTGAATGATGAGAAAAGGATTGGATATCACAATGACTATTTTGGAAAAAATGTTTGATGGAGAAGTACAGAGAAAGTACACTTTTTTTCCTTTCTTGAGTCTTTTGTATTTGGTGGGGCTCCTGATGTTTTGTAACTTGGAAGATTTTCTGTTGCTCCCTAAAGATTTCTATTTTTGGTAACATCGTCCGAGACGATCTGTCCAAAAGCAGAAACCCTAATTAGGGCATCCTCAAAGCAGCCGTCATTATGCAAAACACATCATCCTGGACGATTTTGTATCGGCCAGGACGATAGGCTCAATTCAGAAAAAATATGCCGCCAAATCTAATTAGAAATAATCTATTTTTGGACATCGTTCAGGACAATCCAAGTCAATTTTTCCAATTTTTCTCTGGAACTTAAGGTAATAAATTACATATTTATAAATATAATTTTATTATATATATACCTAATTATTTAAGTGTGATACAATTGTGCTTGATTTTTTGCATTTTCTTCAATGGACTACCAAGAGAGTATAGATTATAATTTCAAGAGAAATGACACAAACATGGGAACAATTATATCATAATTCTACCATGAGTACATTATCAATTCTTTTAATGCATAAATGTACATTTTTATTTTTGTTACCAATAAGAAATATAGCAATATAACAATAAATAGACATGATGTGAAAAATGCTACCATGAGTCATGATGTAGGAAAGCAAAGCAATATACTTTGATGTTTTAAAAAATATTAATTAGTATCCTTAAAAAACATGAAGAAAAATAATGCATATCAAAATGCTCTGAATGATGAGAAAGTAAGGGGAATCTACATATGATATTTATTTATTTAGGAAGAATATATGAGAAAGTTTTAAGAGAAATGCTCTATAGAGTTCTGTATAAGTATGGAGCTTGTAATGCTTATATTTAAGTCATTAAGGATATGTATACAGGTGTTATTAGTTGTGTTCAAACACAAGGTGATTTGACCAAGTATTTTCCTATGTTAGTTGGATTACATCAAAGTTTAGCTTTAAGCCCATATCTTTTTGCTTTAGTCTTGAATGTTCTTATTAGACATTTGCAAGAGCCAGGAGGATATACCTTGGTGTATTATGCTATTGGTCGATGATATTCTACTTGTTTGTAAGATTGGAGATGGAGTTGAAAAGCTTAAATTATGGAGGTTAATCTTTGAGTCAACTGATGTTGAAATATATGGGTATATTATTTGTTGAATTCAAATTAGATGGTTGAAGTGTAGGAATGCATCGGTATTGTTTTGTGATAGAAAGGTACCCTTAAACTTGGGTGGAAACTTTATCAGATGAGAATGTCGAGGTAGATGAGTGGATTTACACTTAGAGATAGAATGCGAAATGAGTGTATACGTGAAAAGGTCAGAGTAACTTCAATGATATATGATATTAAAGAAAATCACCTTAGATGTGTGGTCACATAAAATGTCGGCCTTTTTGATGACCCTTTTAGGAGAATAGATATATTAGATCTGATCTATGTTAAGAAAGTTAGAGATAAACCTTAAAAGACTTGTCTAGAAAGTATTAAAATTGATATTTTTTATTAGGTTTAAATGAGAATTTTACTCTTAATAGGGCACAGTGCAGAAAAAGGAGACGTAGCCGACTTCATGTAGTGGGATAAAATATTTTTGTTGTAGATATAGATGATCTTGAAAGATGCTCAACATATCATACTGACCCCAAGTGATGCTACCTCTCCTTATTTCAGTACCCTATAAAGTCAACAGCCTGTCGCCATTCTATTTCTTATGCATGTTGGTGGAATCTCACAATCTCTCCATATGAAAGTAAAATGGAAATTGCACTGATGGGTGATAATGTTTTTCATTTTCAGATGGAAATCATTTCTGTTGCCTAATCTCCTCCATGAAATATATTTTTAATGGCTTAATCATATGACAATTTTCCAAATTAGTGGCATTCACAATATGTTGTAGAATGCTGAGATTATCTCTTTTATGAGTGAAAAGTTGTGAGGGCTATGATGATGAAATATCCCTTTCTGGCATCTCTGGATGGTCTGGAGCATCTCAGGCAACCACATCTTCCATTTGCATGGGAATTAAGTGTAGTAAAGCTTCTCTACTTATCTTCCATTTGCATGGGAATTTATTTTAGTTTTTGCCAGTTCTGGCATTGTGTGCTGAAACTATGGTTGGGTAAAGCATAAATCTTATGGACCATTTTTTAAATATGGGCTGAATTTGTTTTCACTCATTTTGAGTGTGAATACAATCCTCACTTTTGAGGCTGTATATATATATAGTTAGTCAAATAAAGAGATAGGAAAATTAAGGATTTTAATAAAGTCAGAATATTTTTGGCCAAAGGGATCGTGGAAGGATCAAAGTTATTCTAGGAGATATTTTGGAGCGCTATAATTTTTTTAATAAGCGCTGTTGTAATTTTAGGGAATGTTTTTCTCATCTTTTTCCCTATAAATTTAAATCTTGAAAATTATTTGGTAAGATAAGTGTTTAATCTTGCTTGACAATATAATCTAAGATATATGGCTGATAGTTCATTAAAAATTTAAATTAAATTTTAAGTATAACTTTAATTACTGGCAATAAATTATAATTAAAAATAATTTAACTTTAAAATAACTTATTAAATTTTAATTTGATTATATTTTTAGTTATTTATAAATAAGTTATAAATTATTATTTTTTTAACATTAATTATAAATTATTATAAATAGTGTAATTGTGATTTAAGTTTATTAACAATTAGTTGAAGTAATTAATTATTTTTAATTATATTTTTTATATCAACTTTTGATTATATTAATTTTTAATTAAATTAGTTATATTAAACAAATTTATTCTCATGTTATACTTCTCTGCTATTATCTTCCAAATTTCTTTTTCTCATGCTCTTCCTATAGCCGTGGTTTGCTAGGGTTTTCTTCCTCTTCTCATGCTGTTCGACTTTGCCTGCTTCGCCTGATAGGTAGAGTTTCGAACGAGTCGCTAAATGACTTCTTTGCCTCGTTCAACGACGTTCCTTCCTGTCGAATCCCATGTCATGTCAGTTCACCGTTCTCATTTTAGATTATATTAATTATGTTCAATTAGACTATGTAGATTAATTTCTTCGCATAGGCGTGTAGGGTTTTGCTTTACATCTTCTCTATTTCGTCGTTGCTGTTCGACTTCGTTGCTTCGCGTGAGGCAGGGTTTTTGCACGAGTCGCTTCTTCGGCTCTTTTGTTGCTGTTTGACTTCGCTCGCTCGACGACGTTCCCTTCCTGTCGGATCGAAGGTCTCGACATTTTAATTGGAAGTAACTAATGGGAGCTTGCTTGCTGTAAAGGAAACTATCTTTCTCCCTTTCGCTCGCTTCTTCGGCCAAATCCCAAATCTTGTAAATCAGCAAAATTTTAGGATTTATTAAATCCCGGATTTACGGTCCAGTGAGGGAGACGAAGGATTTATTCCTCCGTGAGATTTAGCGGGTTTTCAAATCCAGTTTGCAGGATTTGGAAGAAATCTGGTTCAATTTCCAAATCCTGCTCAAATTTGGCATAAATACTGTTAAATCATTTATCCGAACAGCCCTAGGGATTGGCCACTATCGACGCATGGATATCCCTATGTTTGCTATTTTTATGATCTGGAACTTTTGGATGTCCTGCAGCTTATGAGGCTACAGCAGCTGGCATTACAATGGGGATTTATACATAGCTATCAGTAGAAAGCTTTCTACACTACTTATTTAATGGATTCTGTTGACCTATTATTTGTTTCTCATTCTTCTTCTTTACTTTTGGAATTTAGTCAGTTCTGTTGGGTTATTGATGTTTCATAATGTGCAGGGTAGGATGCATTATTCTCTTTGAAGTTCCAATGAAATTCCCGTTCTGAGTAGTTGCAGATGCATATTTATAGTGGATCAGTGGATGAGGTTGTTGTGGAAGAAGCATGAAGCATGCCTCGTTGGTTTTTGCAACATGTTGTGTTGTTGTGGCTGTTATTAATTTTTAATTACCAGTGCTTATTTGTTTTATTAAGTTTTCATGCCATGTTGCATTTACCTATTTGAATCTTTCATGGTTAGGTTCTCATCTCTTTAATTGAGAATGGCGAGGCATCAACAATGACCTTATATTCCAGAAGTAATAGATGCTTTCATTTTTTTTTATAAGGGCTTGAGCAAGGAGGACAACTTGAAAGCTTTTTCTCTTTTTATTTTTTTTTCTATGATAGAGTTAAGGAGTTGTCTTTGGATATCTCTTTATTAAAGTTACATGAAACAACTTTGGTGTTCAGAAGAATTTTAATCGATTCCCCCTCCTCCCTCTCTCTCTCTCTCTATACACACACACAAGCACATACATGCAAATATAACATTGATATATGGATATTTATATGCATTTATGTATGATAAACTTCTTGTAATTAAATTGCCCTTAACTTGAAAAAATATTGTATTTGTGTGGACAATGAGGAGAACTATAAGGATCGTGAGACATTTTTTTACAATTAGTGTCCGATAGTTATTGTTGTCTTTTGTTTAACTCAGTTATGTAATCATTGAGATTTCTCTTGGAAGAATTTTGCTGGTGATTGCCAACAAGTGAATGATCTTCTTGAAATCAGGTTTCTTATACTCTTTTTGCATTGGCGAACATCAAGGATGGCCTGAAAATTCTTAGGCAACCGATGTTCTGATTTTACCTTTTTATGCTTGAGGTGAGAGGACCTTTAGAAAGCTGCTTATTTATCTATTTATCATATTTGTGTTGGAATCTTGTTGTCATATTGCTCTCTCTCTCTCTCTCTCATAAAGCACGGTGCAGTAGCCATGGTAACTTGTTGAGCATTTTTTTTAATTATATAGATATTAGATTTTTGATGGAGAAGCATAGAGTGTAAGGAGAATCTAAATATGATATTTATTGATTTAGAGAAAGCATATTATAAAGTGTCAAGAGAAATGCTCTCAAGAGTGATAGGATGTACTTGAGTTCGCAAGTAACTGTATGGGTAATACTTGAGTTCGCAAGCAATCCTACCATTAGTCGGCAAAAACAGTGAGCAAAAGGGCTGATTTCATTGAAAATCAGCAATATCAATGAGTGAACTCTTGTTGGATGAAGAAGAAACGTCAAGGAAAAACTTTGATTCAAATAACAAACAAGAACACAAAGCAAGATGCAATTTCCTTCCATTCGAGAGGAAGGAAAAACTCTCCACAATCTCTAGCAAGGCGTAGAGACCCAAACAAACCCTATATCCCAAAATTTCCTACAATCTCAAGATGAAGCTCTAATTCTATCATTAATCCCTAATTAAAGCTAAAGGAGGGATATAAATTCCCTAAACACCCTTTTCATTCAAAATTTCCCTCCCAAAATTGGATTTAAATCAAATTGGGGCCCACAAGGGGTTCCGCCCCCCCTCAGTTTTGCTAGTTCCGTTGGCCATACACAAGGACCGGTCCAGCCTGCCCCTCCTGGGCCGGCATAACAGAGAGTTCTAGAAAAGTAAGGAGCTTATAATGCTTATATTCAAGTCATTAAGGGTATACATACAATTGTTATTACTTGTCATCCAAGGTGACTCTCTAATCTTATCTTCACATGTATGCTCATTTCATATATTGTCTCTAAAAGTAAAAGTAAGGCCTGAGCATCCTCATCCCGCAACACTTTACATAGTATTATGCTTGTTTTTTAATAGCCAACATTTTTCACCATAAATCGTTGCACGTCTCAACACCATCTTATAGAATTTTTCTTTTAAATTTGAGAGGGACTTATCTATCCCACAACATACCTGAGGATTTAGAATTTAGCCTGTGGTTTTAAATGGCTGTTATGGAATTTTTCAATATTTCCCCTGATATAGCATGTTGGATGGCCTGGAGTTTCTTAGGCAACCACAACTAACATACGATGGGAATTCAAGCTTAGGCAAGCATTTTGGCTTGTCTGAGTAAATGGATTCATTGTCATCATCTTAGCCTTCTTTTTGTTGTTCATTTCTTCTTCTTCTTTCCTTTTGGGATTGTGATCCATGTAATTGAGATTTTTTTGGTGAATTTAGCGTGAAAAGAGTTTTGTTTACCTAATTGATTTAAACACTCATATTTCATTGCTAAAAAAGTTCGAGGCCCTGTCTCCGTTCTAATTTTAATTTGTTGGTGGAATGGCATTCTTGCTATGAAAAAAGAACGGAGGGATGTACTATCAATAGCATCGGTTCCTCCATGAATTACAATTCAGAAGGCCTAATCATTTAGCAGATTAGTGCTACACTCGTAAAAGGTAAATAGAGTATGATTATCTCTTTTATGTGTTAAAAATTGTGAGGAATGTTATAATGATGGTGATTTAGAAATAAGTGTAAAGTGTTTGATATGCTTGAGTTTTAAAAATATTGTTGTTTTTCTAAAGCAAAAAAAAGAAAAAAAGAAAAAAAAGCGGGATTTACATTGAGTGTTAAACTTTTATCATTAAATTGTTGCACTCGAATGTTCTTAAATTGTGAATCTCTTATCAGTAACTTATAAGTGTTATTGAGATATACTTACACAATCTTTGGAATAACAAAATTGTTAGGATTTTCTATTTATAGGCCTATCTATTTTTTAGTTTCTGTTGTCAGTGAATGCTGCAGCATTTTTTTAGTACTCTGCATTACAAGGTCTTTAGCTTTCTTAATGGGTGATATTCTACTTTGTTTATCGTTTCTTTTTACCTCTTCTTTGCTGTAATGGCAGAGAAATAAGCCTCATGAGGCAACCTGTGCAGACATCATGATTTTAGCTTTTTATGGCTATAGCTGAGAGATAATATTGGAAACTTGTTCTCACTTTGATCTCTTGGTTGTTTGGTCGAAAGTTAAAAAAAAAAAACTTTGTTGGTGACTGGAATCCCAGTTGTGGTCTGCTTTCCTGCTAGCTGGCAATCCTCCATGCCCTGGTATTGTGGCAGCTGCACTTTAATAAATTATGGAGCTTACAAAGTGTGGTGCTTTGAACCGCCAAACAATCTGAAGCATGTTTCGGTTATGCATTACCTTACAAATTTAGGTGCCTCCGTTTCCACTCTATTTCTTTTTTATGTTGGGAAATTTTCTCAGTCTGTTCATATGAATGCGAAATTTAAATTGCGTGGATGGAGGATTATGTTTTTCATTTACAGACGGAAAACCTATCAATTAACTCATCTGTCTTGAAATACAATTAAAAAGCCCTAATCAGATGGCATTTTCAAGATTAGCGGTATACCAATAGCATGTAGTTGCTGCGATTATCTCTTCTATGACTGAAAGAGGGCAACAATTGTGATAATTTAGAATTTAGCCATTTACTCTACATGATATCTCCACTCATCTGACATCTTTTTAGTCTTCAAAATAATATTAAAAAGTTTAGATAGTAAAAAAATTCCTTCATCTCCTAAGTATTTCTACACCTCTATTGGATTATCATAAGGTCAAACAGATTTTTCACATTTCATTTTCTTTAAATCCACTATAACTTTCATTTTACTAATACATCGATAAAAACATAAATTTTTATTTTCATTTAGGATGCTATGGTCGCTATAATCAACCGTATTTTCGCAATCTTCAGTGAATCGTTTAGCAAAATTTCTTATCCATCTTTGTTGAATATCTTCTTCTAATAAAATCACTTTTTGATCTTCATTCTTAATGCACTTCACTTGAACTAAATCCTCACTCCTATGGCAAGTACATCTTCCATTAGATGGGAATTAAAGTGTAGAAAAGCTTCTACTTGTCTTATGTCATGGATTCATTGTTCTTGCTCAAGAGTCGAGAATCATAGTTCATTCAGTTTTTGAAGCTCCATGCAACAACATTGGTAATTCAGAAGGATTTTAATGTATCCCGCCTCTCTTTCTATACACATACAAACCTCACACACAAATGCACATAAATAATGAGAGATGGAATAGTAAATACATCATGGAGCTGCTATTAGGTCTCTCTAAAAATCCAGCAGCTTGGTTTTAGTGAATACATATCCGCTTTCTCTTATATTGAATGGAGTTGCATTGGGGAAAAAAGGTAGCATTTTAGGATGAGTGGGAGAGAAAGAGGTAGAGGGACCTCAGATTATCATATATTTGAAATTGAGAGGGAGATTTAGAGATTAGTTGTCTTCTATGATGCACGGACACGGACACGGTGACATGGACACGACAAGACACCGACACGGGACACGATTTTTTTTGAAAATATAGGACACGGGTACTGTGCGGACACGACAATACATTTTTTTATATAGTATATATATATTAGTATAATATCATATTAAAAATGACAAACAATAATAAATGAATTACATGATAACTTGTCTAGCTTATAATATAAAATATTTAGAACAAAATATCTAGTACAATCACAAAAATATAACAAATAATCACTTACTACAACATCAAGCATTCAAGCTTCAACTACTATGATTAGTTTTAGATGTTTGTTTCTGGCCTTCAATATCATCATCATTGAATATCACTGCTTTCAACTCTGGTTCAACAAGAGAAAGATTTGTAACTGTGGCAGTATATGAGAGAGGTAGTGATAAAAAATACCTTCACTGGGCAAAGAGAAATGAAAAGAATATCGATGAATGGGTATTAAATGCAGACGTTGACTATTTTGGTGTTGCTGATAGATAATTAGAGAGAAAAATTAGTTAGTTAAATAGATCGCAAATATCATGCAATTATGAATCCTAAAAAAAAATCATAAATCATTTAAGATACGCATGTCGGACACGCGTGTCCAATTTTGTTTTTAATATTTTTTTAATCGGACACGTTTTCGGCGTGTCCGACACGTGTCGGAGGAGTGCCGGACGAGTGTCGTGTCGGACACGGTGTCGGACACGGTGTCGGACACTGCACGCCCCTTTGAGGAGAAGTGTCGGTGCATCATAGGTTGTCTTTCACTTGATGTGGTAGTGATTCGTGATTTATTTGGTTACAACTGTTTTTGGGTACTGTTTTCATCGTAATTTCTATGGTGGTACTGTAGGAGAGGGAAGTTGTTAATTCTATGCTTAATGCAGTGTCAGAAGATCCCTAATACATTTGTTGACAGTTACATATACCGATAGACTCTCTCTCTCTCTCTCTCTGTGTGTGTGT